TTTATATAAATTTTTACAAAAAAATTTAAATATAATATAATATTTTATTTTATTTCAAAATTTGTAAAAAATTATAAATTTGATATAAAAATTAAGTAAAATTAATTTTCTAGTGTTAAAACTGTGCTGAAAACATGTGAAAATGAAAACACGAGATGGGAAAGGAGACAGCCTACAATATAATCTTTAACCAAACAATAACAAGTGCATACCTCTCCATCTCCTCAGGTCTAGCCCGGCAGCCAACAGTAAGGGTCGGAGCCAATGAGGACGAGCGAAGGTCACGTATCTTCTTCCCACGGCTACCAGTGTCAAAGAGGGGACTTAAGGTGGGAGATCCAATAACTCCATAAATTGTGGGAAGGACTCTGAAGTTCCGGCTGTACATACTTCTACAAGAAGGAAAATCTAGGAAATTAAAGAAAGCATGAGGTACCTGAAACTAGAGGAGATTATCTTCTATCCCTGAAATCATAACAAATAGAATGGCAAAATCACATCTGAAGCTTTCAGTTTATAGAGGAAAAAGTCAGGAAAAAGGAGAAGGGCGACTCTCACATTCGCCTAACCACCGCAAGTCACCAAAGCGAACATTGAAATACTCAAGGCAAGATTCGCAAGAAAACCAGGGGAGAAAACTCGAAGAGATGTAAACGAAGTAATAACAGATCTGAGAAGTCGCCACAGCTATCAGAAGAGAACCAAGGGCTGAGATCTTCCCGTTCTGGAAGGTTTCCAACCTGCAGGTCAGACCTCAGAGACGTAAATGGAAGATAGAATGAGACAGAAGCTCAAAAAGCTAGAAAAGATAAGGAGATGGTTTCGAACCTGCAGACTAGTGGCCGGAGAAACCCGTTTCCAGTTGAAAACCGATTAGGACTTGAAATGTTGCCATCCCATGAGCAAGACGGAGCAACACACACCCACTCCCGCTGTCCCTTGTCTACTACAGTGGGGATGTAACCGAAGAAGGTAATAAACAGATCTGAGAAGTCGCCGCAGCTGTCAGAAGACAACCACGGCTAAGATCTTGCTCGCCACCCCCGAAGGTTTCCAACCTGTAGATCAGGCCTCAAAGAAGTAAATAGAAGATAGAGGGAGATAGAAGCTCCAAAAGACAGATAATAGAAGAAGTTGGTTTCGAACCTACGACCAGTGGCCGGAGAAATCCGTTCCGACCGCCGTCGCCGGAGAAGGTAGTAGTTGTCAACCGATTTGAGACGAGCAAAAATATCGGCAGCTGGCAGAAAAAAGATCACCTGAGGAGGGAAAAATCTCACTGAATTTTGACTGACCAAATTAACCGCAGCCACTTCTTTTCGCATTTTTAAGATAAGATTATTAAAAATTTTATATAATAAATAAATGAAATTTATTAAAAATAT